AAACAACAGATTCATTGTTATTATTGTAAGCAAAAGTTATGTGTAATGAAATATATATCAATTTTTTTTTTAATAAATTATTTTGCACTTGATGTACAAAATGTTCTCCTGACAAAGTTGATTTTATATCATTCTGTTCGAATCGCGTATATCTGCTTCCTATCATATTTATCTTTGATTCTGTTGTTTAAAAAAATCTATTGGTTTCAGATTTTCGTTTTGTGTAGTACAGCAATAAATCATGAGAGTGCACACAGATCAATGCTTGTGCGTTCTTCATGATTAATTATCCAGAAATCATATATCACCTCTTATACTAACTGAGCTCATTTTTTAATTTGACAAGTTATTAATCTGTGGGCTTATTTTTTGTCTTATCATTTTTTAAGGCTGGCATGCATATTTACACAAGGGCATCTGCCACCGGAAAGCGTGTTCAGGTTCTAATCCACTCTCAACTTACTATGTCTCCTACTTCTCATTCTCGATATATTTTAGGATACAATGGTTTTTGAAATAATGCTACATATTGACTTCTTAATTCGTGAACAACTTAAACAGTCCAATATGGGAGCAAAGAACCATGGAATTGTGATGCCTGATGCAAATGTGGATGCGACTTTGAATGCTTTGGTTGCGGCTGGTTTTGGAGCTGCTGGTCAAAGGTGTATGGCGCTTAGCACAGTCGTCTTTGTTGGGGACTCAAAATTGTGGTATTCATATACTTTTTTTTTTAAATTCTCTTTCTTGTTTGGTTGTGTTTGTAATTAACTTGCTTTCGTTTTCTTTTCTTTTTCCATTTTCTTTTTGAAAAAAAAAAAAATCTATGGGCTGAGTATCGCATGAAAACTAAGGGCGTGTTTGTTTACAAATAAATCCATTCAAAATGAGTTTTTTAGATTAACCAGAGTTGATTTTGAAAAAGTTGGATGGTTAGTAGTAAGTGGGATTTTGATTTATATTAAAATATTGTTTAAAATAAAATAGTTAAAGTTGATATAAAGGAGATAAATGATGTGAAGTTATAGTTAGTTAAAATTATATGAGTGGATGAGTAATGAAATAAAGTTGATGTGATGTGTCAGAATGATTGGTTTGTATTATTTATTTATATTGATAATATTGAGAATAGTGGGGTTGGGTTAAAGGTGAGTTAGATTTTGAGTATGAATTGAATGTGAATAAGTTATTCTGTAAACAGACATGATCTGCTCTAACTGTTTGATGCTTGTAGGGAAGAAAAGTTAGTCGAGCGCGCTAAAGCACTAAAGGTAAGTGCTGGAACAGATCCAGAGGCAGACCTTGGTCCAGTCATTAGTAAGCAGGTCAGTACAGGGCAATCTTCAAAAGTAAAAATCATTGAAGATTTTTTCATGTTGAGAAACTTATTTATACCAACTAATATGAACTCATAATATTCAGAGTTTCTTGTGTTGTTTTATCTCATTCGCGTGGATTCTGTCCTGTCACATCTTTCCCAAAAAAAATGTGCCGTTATATTTTAGGCAAAGGAAAGGGTGTGCAAATTAGTTCAAAGTGGGGTAGATAGTGGAGCCAGGCTATTGCTCGATGGAAGAAATATTAAGGTGCTTGTTTTATTAATTTTTATTGTTTAAAACTTCTTGTCGGCTTCTTAATGGGCATCTTATTTTTGTTATTTAATATTTTCAAAATTTATCATGTTTTTGCTTTTGATAAGATCAAGTAGTTTATCTTGTGAAAGTAACACTGTCGTAACTCGTAAGTGGACATAAGTTGCTTGATGAATTAAACATGCCTTCAAGGGCCAAAAAAAAAAATAAAAAATAAAAAAAATAAATAAATAAATAAAAATCTATTTATGGAAATGCATGATGCCTTTTTTATTTCTTTTTAAGCGGCCAGTCAGTGTTTGTATGATCAGTGAGTTTGACCTTTGCCATGGACAACAGGTTTCGGGATATGAACAGGGTAACTTTGTGGGTCCCACCATCTTGGCTGATGTCACAGATGACATGGAATGCTATAAGGTTGTTTTTTTTGTTTTTTTTTTTCCTGCATATCTAGTAAAGCTATATTAAATGTTCTGCAAGGATTTATCTTTTAAGTTTTAATTCCTTATTTTTGGGTCCTAGGAGGAGATATTTGGCCCTGTCCTCGTTTGCATGCAGGTATATCAGTAATTACTTAAATCCTCTTTCTATTAAAAGAGTTGGGTTCTTGTGCTGAGTATTGTATATTGCTTTCACGTCTCAGGCAGAAAGTTTAGATGAGGCCATAAAAATAGTCAACAGAAACAAGTAATTGACCTTCTACTTTTCCACTAGAGTCTCGAATAACTCCTGCTTTTGGATTTTGTAACATTCTGAAATATCTGTATTATTATCCCTACTCGGTAGGTATGGTAATGGTGCAGCTATTTTTACGTCATCTGGAATTTCTGCACGGAAATTCCAAACTGAAATAGAAGCAGGCCAGGTACCAAGCAGCATATTTTGATATTTTCTTATTAAAATGCTAGAGCAAGTGTATTTTTATTCATCCTTTTTTTGTAGTGGTATTCTAATTTCTTTTTAAATGTGGATTTTTTTTTTTATCTTTTTTTTAATCTCAGGTTGGTATCAATGTCCCTATTCCAGTACCATTGCCTTTCTTCTCGTTCACTGGCTCCAAGGCTTCGTTTGCCGGCGATCTCAATTTCTACGGTAAAAAGAATCAATGCAAGAAAAATAGAAGTTATAGTTATTGTTTCACGATGTTTTTGTAAATTCCTAAATCTTAATCTTGTGTTTGTTTTTTTGCAGGCAAGGCCGGAGTTCAGTTCTACACACAGATAAAGACAGTAACTCAACAATGGAAGGATTTGCCAAGTGGTTCTGGAGTTTCTCTAGCTATGCCAACATCGCAGAAGTCTTGAGTGCAAAAATTATGTATTTAATAATATTAATAAAATTTGCAACATTCAGAAGTTTGTATTGATGATTTGGAACTCTGTGTTGATGTTATCTTATGCAGTTTGGCTGGGATTGTGTTTTTTTTTTTCTTAAAGAAGGCAAATCTATATAT